CCCCAAAACCCCAAAACCCCAAAACCCCAAAACCCCAACGATCTTATTAAAAATTGAAATGCAAGAATTAGCTATCAAATGCCTCGATACAATTTTCTGACTGGCCTAAAACTCTATCTTGTTTTTTCAGTACTCTGTAGATTTTGGCATTGTACTTCAATAATCATTTTCCTGCTGTATAAAGGAACCTTGAATGAGTTATTGGTTCTATATCGCTCAACTTAATTGGATGAATATCCTCAATTTCCTCTCTCTGGGATTTATGGTTAACTAATACATGATACAAAAATTTCTCAAATTTGTCATGATCAATAAATCAAGCTGCGTATGTCCAAATCGCGAAGTAATTTCTGTTGTTTTCAACATATTCTAATACTGCTGGGTTGTCCTGTACTTCAAAGATTGTGTGAAGAATGTTGTACCGTTTTCTGAGATTCGGAAAATCCACTCCTCGGATCATTTCCAAGCCAGTGTCTGACATTCCTATAGATTAGAGAGAACATTACAGTAATATTGCTTGCCATTAAGAGTTACTACTTTATTCCTATCGAACCGGACTGTTTCTATCAACTCGTAGTAATACTGGATTCTAGAATGTTCTTTCTTGATTAACCTTCGTATATGCTTCATGAGGCGACCAGAGACTATATCCTTATCATATTCTATAATATAATCTGAGTCATTTTCCTTGTCAGATAAATTCTCAGCTTCTTCCTTGGCTCTTTCTGTTGCTGCTTGCCTTTTTCTCTCCTCGAGATTGGCATCGTCGCTGCTGATGTATGCATTTCTAGCTAAAAATTAATGAAGGCTAAATTTTACAAGGCTTGTGTCTATCATGTGGTTTAGGATCATCCTTGCTCTCTTCTTGTTTATTCCTTCTGTTACTTTTCTTTGTCTTAGTTCTCTTTTTGTTGGCTTTAGATTCTTCTTTATTTTTGGGCTTTCCTCTCTTCATTAGCTTGGATTCGTGGGGATCTCCGAGGGCTTTGTTCCTTACTGTCTTCTTTACTTTCCTCATTATCATTTCTTTTACTCCTATTTTTGACTCTATTTCTTAGTAAGTAATGGTGTTGAGGGCTTTGGTCGCTTTTGCTATCAGGAGTATCCTCTGAGTTTGTCTCATCAATCACATTTTGCTCATAGTCTTCTCTGTATTTATTTTACACTAGGAGACCTGGTAGGGACGTTTCTATAAAGTTATAAAAATATTTTTATTTTGCGCAAAAAGCAAAATACTGCTCAAAAATAAATTTAGCAACTTATATTAATTCAAAAAGATCTTAAAATGTCTACCTTCTACCCCTCCGGCCTCTAGAAGGCTTCTGTGTTTTCTTCTTCTCATTCAGGCTCATATTCCCAGATAATATATCAGAAATATCGGATGCAAACTTCTTCTTGATATTGGACTCCATTAAATATTTAAAATTTACTAAATTTTATCAAAATTAATATTTTTTCTAGGGGTTTTGGGGTTTTGGGGTTTTGGGGTTTTGGGGTTTTGGGG